CCGCTCCCTAGCGTGAGTACGGGAGTGGGGACAGGGCCCCGCTTCGGCCTCGGCTCACGCACGGGCAGTGCCAAAGGAACTTCACCTTGATGGGACCGAAGGGGCGGGGGGGTGACCGGTTGGTTACCTGGCCCTCAGCTGGTTGTGCTGCGTGGAGCAGTCCCCCGGGGAGAGCACACCGCTCTCGGCCTGGTAGTGACCACTCTATCCCTATCCCGGGCATTGCGGGGAGGATTGTGTGATCCACACCTCCTGGAGAGACTTCATGGGAGAGCCCTCTCCCCGCATCTGTAGGGGCAGCTGGGCACCCGGTCAAGGGATCTCCCTCTGGAGATCGGAACTCACCTAACGCTTTGCTTTGCTTTGCCTCAGCCTGGAGCAGCCGATCTCACCCGTGGCCTTCCCAGCCAGCAGCAGCCTGGACCCATGTGCAAAAGAGACTGTGCTGAATGCCATCAAGGAGAGCAGGAAGAGAGCTGTGGAGGAGGAGGAGGAGGAGGACCAGGCTTTTGGGAATGATCAGGAGAGTAAGAGAAGGTAATAAGCCATCAGTCCAGGTCACTGCCAGTGTGTTGGGAAGGTCATAAATGGGGCTAGCACTTCAGTGGTGACAAATGGGATGCATCTCAGAGCGCAACCAAGTCTGGGTTGGAAAAGTGCTGTGGGAAGCGAACCACAGAGGGGAAGCACACCCCATCACCCGGCCCTCTGGGCCATGTTAGAAAGTCCTCCGAGACTTCGTTTTGTCCTTGAGATCAAAGGGGTGTGGTTTAGGTTTTTGTCTGGGCAAGTTTGTGGGTCCAGCATGTTCCCCTGCGTTGCTTGGGTTGGGAGGGGCTGGGATGTGGTTTGGGGAGGCCTGGCAGGGAAGTGGCTTCTGTCATCACAGGGGTTTTTGTCATCACTGGGGAAATGTAGCAGGAGATGCTGGTATCTGCTGTAGGCTCATTGTCTCTGTCCTTCAGTCAGCCCCAGGCTTCCAGGAGAGACGGGATCCCCAAGTCTTACAGCCCTGGGTGGAAGTGTCAAACTTTAAAAGGTCTGCATGCTTCCTTTGTGTGCTGTAGCTAGCAAAAGGAAGTAAAAACAAGAGACACTATCTTCTGCTTTTGTTAGTCAAGGTCAATGATTTCCAGCTCTGAGCTTGAAGAAATGACAGTGCAGTGTCTTTGTCAGCGCTCTGGGAAGGACAAGGTGTAAATCCTGGGTGCCAAGGTTTCCCGGAGCCTTTCTAACTGCCTGGCCACAGCGCTGCCTCACCATTCTCCCCTCCTGGTTTTTGTCCTTCCTGCTTGTGTACATGGAGGCTGTTCTCCTTGTGCCCTTCTGCCCCTCGCGTGCCAGGGCTGCCTGCCTGGGCCTGAGCAGAGGAGCTGAGAGACCACAGAAGAGCAGTTTGGGCAGTGCCCAGACTCTTTGCCCCATCTGCTGCACTGGGGCCACTGTTAGAGGTAGCCCTGAGAGCACAGTAGGATGAGCAGAGGTTTTCAGGGAGCTACTGGCTGCCACCTTGCTGCAGCAGGGCATGGTGTCCTCCCCTCCATCACTGGATTTCCCTCTACCTTTGAACCTTTACCCCAGTTTGGTGAATCTGAGCCCTGCAAGGGCTGAGCAGGACAACAACAGGATGGGTGCACAGACAGGATCAGCTTGGGTTTTTTTCTTTATTCTATTTTTCTTTTTTTTTTACATGCTAATACCCAGCTCTGCTACAAAAGCCAACTCTGAAGGCATTAAAGCCTGGCCAGCATGAAGAATGCTTGTAGGCAGAAAATCCTGTGACCTTTGAGGGCAGAAAGGAGCCTGCATCAGCTGGAGAGCGCTAGATTGCCTGTGCAATGGGGTCAGCATGCTTGAGCTTGAGGGAAGTGCTTGGGCTAAGTGACAGGGCTGATCGTACACCTCCAGCTCTGCTTCACAACGGGGTTTGCTTTAAGACTTTCAGACTTCAGATCTTCACTGAATTGTTCTGGGAAGGGGGAGTTTGGTTTCTGACTCAAACAGTCCAGGGCACTGGCTAGGAAGAGGTGGATCTGAGTTTTGGAGCTCAGGTCTGTTCCAGAAATGAGCTGCTGAGACTCTCTGAAATGTTTTGGTTTAGAATAATGGATTTGAGCAAAGATTTCATTACATCAAAACTACTCTGCCCAGCAGGCAGCTGGTGGAGCTGCTGGTGCTTGGGAGGAGGCAGCTTGGGGTGAGAGTCAGGCGAAGAGAAAATCCACAGCAGGATGTGGATGGGGAAAACCTCTGTCCTTGGGTAATGGGTGACAAGGAAAAAGCAAGGTTTATGTTTTCTCAGTGCTGAGCCCACCTGAAGTGGTCTTCTCCTGAGGCTGGGAGGGCAGCCTCTGTCTCTGCTGCCTCCACACTGCCACAGGCTTCTGCCCTCTCTCCCACAGGCGCCACGATAGCAGCGGAAGTGGGCAGTCGGCGTTTGAGCCGCTGGTAGCCAATGGGCCCCCCGCCTCTCTTATACCCAAGTAAGTGCCCATTGGGCCAAAAGCAACTGCTGTGAGCTGTGAGCGGGGTCTGAAAGCCTGCAGGCTCTGGAAGAGGTGCTTGGCTTTTGCTTGTAGAGCCCAGCTTCGGGGGAGAGCAAGAGAGGCTGTGGCCATGCCTTTGGTCTGTCACCCTGAGCGCCAGTGGTCATAAAGGCTCTGCCGCTGCTGAGGCCTCTTTCCAAACCTTGCACTGTGAGAAAGAGCAGGGTTGCTTTCCTCCACCTGCCCTGCATTTAAGGGACCTGTGGGCAGAGTGGTGGGGAGCTCATAAAATCTTCTTTAACGTGCTCTAGGCCTGGCTCTCTGAAGAGGGGCCTTGTCTCACACTGCCCAGATGACTGCTCAAACAAGAGGTCACGCACCTCTTCCATGAGCTCCCTCAACAATACGTACACTGGCGGGATCCCTGGCTCCATCCGCAACGCCATCGCCAGCTCCTACAGCTCCAGTCGGGGCCTCTCACAGGTAGGAAACACCCTGCCAAAGGCAGCGCTGGACGCCAGCACAGAGTGGCTCAGCCCTCCTCTGGGATTGCCCCTGGGTTCATAAGAAGAGAACAGTGTTGCTAGGTGCCTGGCAATGAGCACTGCAGGGAGTCTCCAGTGCAGCTCAGCCAAGCAGTTTCATGTTCTCATGGGTTAGGCAGGCTGCTGGGCTGGCAGCAGCAGGCAGCGATGTTACTTGTCCTTCGGCGCACACTGCGGGGGGAGTCCCCAGGCTGAGCTGTCCTGCTGCAGCGCTTGTTTTACACCAAAGCAAGAAGGAGGCTTTTTTTCCCCTCCCTACTCAGCCTTGGCCAGTCTGCTAGGGTGGATAGATCCAGGTGAAAAGATAAAAAAAAACAAAAATCACTTTGTTGCGCTGCCATTTTTTCAGCTGGAGTCAGCAAGTATTGGAGCTGTGCACTCCCACTTTGACCCAGATCCCTTCAGCAGCTGCTGAGCTATAATGAAACACTGCTTACATCCTGGGTCAGGCTTGCATGTGGTGGTGGGATGTAGCCATGGCTAATGGAGCTCTGCGGTCTGTGTGAGGAAAGGTT